AAAAAAAAAAAAAAAAAAGTAATAGATCCACCACTGACTCACACCCAAGAAATGTAAACACACCACTACATAAATCCACTGCTTCAACCAGATCAGTCCAGTAAGACAGCGCACATCAAGGAGAACAGTGTTCCTCGTGAGCATTTTCTTGCATGATATTTGGCCTTCCAGGTCAAGCTTTGTCATCATATACTTTAAAGAGACCAATGACCTCAACATGCCAACCTGCCAAAACCCCCTGCCACCTCATTGCCACATGCCAGTGTCCATGATCATCCAGAAGTCATTATTCAGCAGCAGTGGGAAGGTTGAGATAAATAAACCAGTTACTATAGGCTGTTACAGCAATGGCCAGGCTTCTGGTCATGATGATGAAACTACACATCTTACGTAAACTTCAGTTTTGCCTGCTGGCCTTATGGGAGTCTCTTTTCTCTAAAAATCAAATGTCATTGCTCTGTTAAGTTGAGATAGCCAGTGGACATGCTCAGCCCACGCACAGACTCGGCTGCACGTCTCCATCTGTCTGCCACTACGTGGGAGATATACATGTATGTAAAAGACTGACTCATCCAAATAACCTCTGAGTTTTCTTCCCCCTGCTGTGGAAGATGTGTAGGAGGTCTCCATGCAAATTGGCTGAGGTTACATTACTACCATGCTCTGTGTGAGACCCAGATGGTGTTCATAGCCTCCAACGGGGGAATCCCTTGTTGTTAACAGGGGTTATTAACTGCCAACCATCCTTATGGGGCTGTTTGGCTCATCAAGTAAAGTAATTTTTCCACTTTCAATCAAAGAGTGCTATGTTATTTTCTGTTATCTTGTATGTAAGTTTAAGTCTCTCCGAGGCTGTCCAAAGGAACGCAAGGAAATGAGCAATCATTGCATAATGAATAACGGCAAGTACAAGCACTGACAATGGGTGACAGTGGTGAGCACAAAGACTAATGAAACTGTCCTGGTGTTAGACACTGCAACCCATTCAGTTTTTAGTCTGCTGCTTTACACTTACAATATCTAGGCTGCAAAATATAAATCACATTGAAAGTGTTTACCGTAGGTAGGTCAAGGAAACAGAGAACAGCCCTGATGGCTGACTTTTGCTTTGTTTTGTTAGTAAACTTTGCCAGTTTTCAAATCTGCTGGTTCATCACTGATTTACCAAATGTACTGTATGTCTATGATTGCTGACTCTTCACTAAAACACATGATGGCTTCGTTACAACCACTAGTGGGCCGGAAAAAAACAACACTATTTGAAAAGAAAGCCAGAATTAATAATTCAATATGACTGCTATGCACAAAAAGTGGTTCTGGCAGTGTCTTACATCTCACACTCAATTCTGCTGATGATGGGACACAGTAGCATTGCTTGTGCCATTACAAATGCATAACAGGATCCAGGAATTAGAATTCAGTTCAGGGACCAGGAACACCACTCCTTTCATAGATGGAGCCTATGAAGACTGAAGGCTTCTGCACTGAACCTGCACCTCCTTTCCAAATGAGATTTTGATGTTTTACCGTGTGTTCCCACCCTTATGGTGTAGTAACATCAGCACCAACGTTTGAGAATAGAAACAGAAACAAGAAACAATAGTCTCCCATTTATTTCAGTTAGTTACTTGACATTTGTTCAACTTTGGCTGTGAACATTTGGCCAATAGAAACATGTTAAATTATTAAGTAAGTCATTATCCTACAGTAACAGTGCTTCAACAAAGTGCAGCTTGTTCTTATACAGTGTTTATAGTCTATGATCATTCTTAATATTTACCCATGTCAAACCAGTGCGTTTTGCCTTCGGAAACAATGCTAGGTTTCTACTGCTACCAAGCTAGCTAGCTAGACATGCTAATATTTGGAGCTTACGTTGCACACACACACAGTTTAATTTATTTATTTATTTTTAGCTTGTGCCTGCCGTGCCTGGTTACAGTTGCTAGGCTATGATTGAAAATTAAGACATAAAAAATAAGATGCTATGTGCTCAAATCCCAATTTAGTCCATAGAAACCTGTTTCTGGATCCTTAATGTAGTTAACCATAAAACAAATGACAGCCATGGGTATACTGTCATCCAGACAATAGACAATTATTGTTGGCCACTAACAGAGTAAAGCCTTACAGTATTTAAAGAGCTGCCCTCTGACACATTCCATGACACTTGTGATCTGTGACAAGACCTATGCCCCTTACCCAGAAATCCCTGCTCCATTCAGCCCACACTGAGCCATAATTACCTAGGGCTTACTGTTACATAACACTGGTACAATCCTTCAACTGCACACCCTTCAACACTGGACTCCTACTGCATTGTAGTGCATGACTTCACAGCTTACTGCCTTGGTTGTGAGTACATGCATGTAGGATGTATGTGTTGGCTGACTTCCTGTGGGAAAGGAAGAAAGTAAGAAAGAAAGAAAGAAAGAAAGAAAGAAAGAAAGAAGTTTGTCAAAGAAAGGAGAGTGTGGTGTTATGCAACCTGAGCCTGCTGTGCATTATTCCTGGTATAAAGTAACTGTAGTGTCAGTGATTTGAGGCAATTGCTTGCCTCAGCTAAGCCTCATACTGACTAATACAAGGGTGCATTTTTGTGCATTTGTTGTGTGTCAAGGCAAACACAAATTGAATAGAAATAATGTGTTTAATACCCTTTTTCTGGTTTCTTTATCCTCTTTGTAATCCAATTTTTTTTTGCAATAATACTGATTCTTTCACTCTTTTTTCACTCCTGTGTTGCTGTGATTAGATCATCAGCACTTCTTTATGTGTAGGAATCCAACAGAAGATGTAGACGTAGTGTGTGTGTGTGTGTGTGTGTGTGTGTGTGTGTTTCAGAGGGGGTGGGTGGTCCAGGGCCAGAGGTGACAGTTGAGCTGAAGCACATGATTTTTTTCTTCCAGAGTCTGATCCTTTTGCCATTTCCAGCTCCCGATAATCCACACTGCGAGTCTTAATATTCCTATTCAAATATCAGTCTCTCAGGTTGTTTTATTTTGCCTCAGCATGCAGTGTACAGTTGTTTTTCTTCTGTTGCCTACATTAAACTCTGAATACATGCGTCATTACCGCTCTGTGTCATTTTAATGGTGCAGTCATACATCAAGGGTCTTGGAAACTGCACTGGAAGAAGGGAACAAATGTTCCTATTGAACTAAAGAGTCACATGGTGAAGCATTCAATCCCCTTGTGGCAAGCGGAAAAAGAAATCCCATGATCATCTTTCTGTTTTCAGTGAACACAGAGGCTGGGTGTTTGTGTGTGAGAGAGAGAGCTAGTAAGGTACTGCATGCCCAGTCACATTTGACAGCCCATCTATCTCAAACTCCACCCCTCGTCTCCTGCAGTTCCAAATTACCCCCGGGAGCCGATGATGGTGTCACCCAGCTCTCAGCAGTCTACAGCCACATCATCTTTAGGTATTACTGCTATTATTTACCGAACCAATCACTCTCCTCTGCTGGCCTCGTAGCCACAGCAGACCATCATGCATAAATCATTTATGAGTGAGATCACTGCAACACAACAGGAACCTCCCCCACCATGCTTCCCGACTCCCCTCTACGCCCACACACACATCCATAAACATACAGCCATGTAGTAGAAAGTAAGCCCAGGGTGCTCATTTATGATACCAATGTCCCACCATCATCATTGTCAGACTATGTCATATTGGAGGAAGCCCTACCTGAAGCCTTGAGCACATCATTTAAATTAAGTCTACATCCGTTTCATTACTTCACTATCATTTTCACGGTATGATCACAATGTTGTGATTATAGCTTGAACCTTGTCCGACCAACTCCGTAAATGTCTGATCAGATAATGTATTCCCAGGGCTCTTCACTCAGGGCTAAATGCAAAGATGTCCTCCAGCTATATCCACTACTTCCTATTTAGGTCAATCAAAACAGGGCTTTCGGTAGCCTACACAGAGCATATACATATGTAGTGCTCTGCCTTTAGTCTGTACACATTAACAAACACTCATAAGTCCCACACAGAAACTTATTCAGTAAAGCAGCAAGTTGTATGGGAAGCATCTTATTGTGTTGACACTTAAACATAAAAAAACAGCTCATGTGAGTTTATTTGTTCACTTAGAAAGCAAGACAATGTCCCTCTGGCAAGCAGGTAGCAGTTAGCACGTCTTTCCTTGTTCTATATAAAGACCTTCTTCCTTTAGCTTAGTCAGAGTCTAAGAGGTAGTTGTTATCTCTTCACTGTGATTAAACCTCATCTGCATCAACAGTGCTGCACCACCATCAAGCCTGTCAGGCTAACTTAGTTAAAAAGGGATGGCCTGCAGCTGTTATTATTACTTTGGACAAGATTTTTTTTTTCCAGTAGTTGCTAATGAGGCTTTGTTCAAGGCTGCATCAATAAGTAAAAGAATAAACTGAACATGTGTAATTAAGTGTTTTTTAGTGAGCAGAAATTTAATGAATGCTTGGGGGACAGTTTTCAAAACTGTATCTCAGAGAAAATGATGTAACGGGCTTGCAGTAATTCCCATACACACTGTATGTAACATAAAGTACAGCTTTTATGGATCTGTTATCTAAAGAGCTGACTAATGCAGAATTTAACATCTCTCATGAAGGAATTAACTGTTCTGTTGTGAGGCTCTGGATGATGAGTCGTGATTTATATAAAGCTGAACCAGTAAAGGGAATTAATACCCTCTGCACTGTAAAACTTTCCCTTGCCTGGGATATGCAAAAATATCCTGAGAGGCCGTGCTGTGGAAATTTATGCAGTAAATCAGCTCAGAATGTAAAAAACAAGCACTGTTAAATTACATCAATGCAGAGTAAATCGTAATACGGGACATACAGTTATAATATATTGGACAGTACTACAAGTCTGCTAGTGCCACTTTCTCTTCAGCTACATTTCTCTTAACTCATACACTGTTGGTTACTTACATGCAAGACGCTTGTTATGGTTGGCTGACCCAGTAGACGACATGATCCAGAGGATGTGGGACTGCTTGAAGAGAGTGTTTTGCCTTTGAGTGTGTGTGGATTTTTCTTGTCCCCTCCTGTCAAGGCTCCAGGACAGGATGCTGGTGTGTGTAGTGGTTGGTCATCTAGTCATTGCATCTCTTGACTTTGGCACCAGGACTATCAAAGATAGTACATTCACATTACACTTTATATCCCTCCCTTCTTCTCTTCTCTTTCTTCTACTCTGCTCTGCCTTTTTGCTGTGTACGCCGTCTCCCTCCCCCCTTTCTGATCGCCTTTGCTGTTCTTTCAAGGTTTTCCCTCTCACTGCTTCACACTCTCATCTCAGCTGCCTCTCTGTGTCTCTCACACAGCACGCGCACACACACACACACACTCATTCTCTTGCTCTCTCTGCTAGACAGGCTCAAAAGGGTTGTAAGGAGCTGTGCAGCTTAGGGACGGGGGGAGAGTGATAGTGGGCTACGGCATTGTGGCCTGTACCAACTGGTGACAGCGAGGGGGTCAACAGGATCAGGAGGAGTATTGGCCTCTCCCATCTCAACCATCACTGATTTACCTTATATTTTTTATTTATTCACTTTGTTGTAGGATGAAAGCTTTAGAAATGAACTATGATAAGAGAATGAATAAATCACCACAATTTCTCTCAGCATAATTGGAAATGAAAATTTGAAATTTACGTGATTACTGCACTATATGTTTTATGTAATACGATCTATGTCATGTCATATTATATTAATTGATTATCTACATTTGTTTATGTATTAATTCTATTTTTATTTCTACATTTATTTTTTATTTTTAACTGTACCAATTTCTAATAAGATAAAAAATAATGAAGGATTTAAACGGTACAGCAAATTTCCCTATAAAATAGTATTCTAGGAATTTAGTATTGCACTTCCATAACTCTCTAGAGACAGTTTAAAACAAGACTAAGAAACCACGTACAGCCATGCCAGTGCCTCTGTGAGGCTGTACTTAGGCACAGTGGTGCTTTGATCTTATGCTAACACCATCATACTAATATGCTCACAGTGGCAGTGCTAACGTGAAAATGCAGGTATAATGTTTAGATCCTCAGTTTAGCCTGTTAGCATGCTAGCATTGCTAATTATCACTAAATACAAAGTACAGCTGAGACTGATGGAAATTGAACTTGTTTTGCAGGTTTTTGGTCATAAACCAAAGTATTGGACAAATACATTTTTTGCCCTGATGATGGCACCAGAGTAAAAGTTAAGAATTAGAATGTATCCTCTGGGGACCTTGAAGATGTGTAGCACATTTTACAGCAATCTATCCAATAGTAAAGATACCAATATTGTCAACCTTATGGTGGCGCTAGAGGAAAGGTCAGGGGATCACCAAAGTGAGTAGGATTCATCCTGAGGGGGAGATGAATTCCTGTGCTAATCCATCCACCAGACATTTCAGTCTGGATCAAAGTGGTGGATGGACTGACCAACATTGCCAACCATGCTGCTAGCCGCACTAAAAACATGTCCTACACTTCCCATAATTCAACCTGACAGTATCTTTACATGTAATGTAAAATAGTGTACATGAAAATGTACACTATTTTAACATTTAGTTAGATCTCTTGGCAGAAATGTAATACAGTATTCATGTGAATGTTTTCATTAGTGTATTATAACCTGAATATGGGAATCACTGTGTTTTCGTTACCTTAAATTGAGACGTTTTATCCAGATGTCGCGGGTTGCCTTCCATGGAGTCTTCCGTGTTGAACCGCCATGTTTCTACAGTAGCCCAGAATGGACAAACAAAACACTGGCTGTAGATACAACCTTTCACAAGACATTATATACTTTTGACAGACTAACTGTACTGAACATGATGATAAACTGACATATATAAATATATAAAATCATTAAGGTTCCCCTTTAACTGTTTACAAATCACATATTAAGGAATTAATAATTATCCATTCATATCTTTTGAGATCCCAAATCAATTTGGCTGGTGTAAATCCTCCTATAGCTTTTAGCTAGCACTTAAAGTAATTAGGAGGGCCTGTCTAAGGGACAGTTTGACCACGTACCTTCTGGAAAAGAGCACCAGAGCATCTGTACCACTTATTAACATTTACATCTGCAGACTTGACAGCTAATTAAAAGGTGAGAAACCCATTGCCCTTTATTAATGACTTGATACCATTTGATGGCCTATTAGAAAGTACACCATTAATTATGTATTAATAGCAGCAGAAGGTCCCTCTGTCCCTGATATTGAGTAAGTTTGCAAATGCGGTTGCATATCATTTGGAAAATGCAAAAAGTAGAATTAAGTAAATTCTTTACAAATCAAACTTTTTCTGGCCCTTCTTAAAGAGGTTTCTTAATGCAAGCGTGAACAACAGCATATGCATGTACTAACATGTAATTAACCACTCGCACGCACAAACACACGCATTACTGCAAAACTTCACACTGTAACTGTCACACAAGGGGGGTTAATAGGCACTTAGCATCATTGATTCCTGCAGGTCCTGACTCCCCCTTTCCTAATAAGAGGCTTTTAACAACCAATTACATCACACTTCAGCTGGAAGAGGCTGCTGCAGGCTAACCACTAATGTCATGGAAAACTCATTGCAGACTACGTAAGGAAATAGAGAAGTATAATATGATATGATTAATGGCCTGTTCGGCTTCCATTCTGATGCTGGTCAACTATGAACTCTGAGATGATTAATAACAGTTTCACAGGCAATCCATTTAGACATCTGATCACACCCATGTTTAGAACTGGGAGCACCACAAGTTGGCCATATCCTTTTATAGTCTTGACAATGACTCATATCACTATTGACATTTTTCAGTGATGTGAGGGAAGATCTACTGCATACGCCGACACCTCATCCACTGTAGAGTACAATGAGTACATTATTTTAACGTCATTGGTGAGTCAATATTGGCATCTGCTGGTGAAGACTGTGTATTACATTTAAACTCACACTAAGGGAGCACCTGCTGTGTTCTCAACTATACAAGCGCAATGATTTCTTTCACTTTTCACCACCTTTTTGCAACACAAAAATGACCTTGCCACTTCCATAATTGAAATTCCCTCAGAGAATACTGTACTATGTGTCAATATCAGAAAACTCATAGATTTTTAAGATTTGTTGTTTCACCAGCAACAGATAGTCTGTTATTTTGATTAGACTTTTTCTTTAGGAAATGAAACACAATCATAGTCACATTTAAAATTTGAATTTCAGGTTTCAGATGCTCCCAGGTTTAATTCATTCAGGTGAACAAAAGGGGATTTCCAGTGACTGTTGCGCAGTGTTATTGTGTGCGTGTGTGTGCACGTGTGTGTATGCATGCGTGTGTGTGCATATGTGTGTGTGTGTTGTGCCTGTTGCTCTTTCAGCTCTATCAGTGCTGGCTTCCTCTTTGAAACTGTGTTGTCTCAATTTTCTGCAGCATAGTCTCTGATGTGGCTTGTGAGTCATACTGTGGTAAATATACACATTTGCGCATGCACATATGCATGCACACACACATAAAGACATAGTCACAGACACATGTATTCACATTTACACACACTCTATTAATGGTCACTATAGTTAGTATTCCCTTTGCCTTCACGTTAAGTTTTGGTTGAGCAACACACAGTAAGCCTGCTGACACAAGCTACTGGATTTTTTTTTCAGTTGAACAACACACAGCTAAACCTCAGCAACAGACACAAAAAAAAGTTCACATCTTCACTTCTTATCTTCACAGCCGTACCAGACAGTAAAGTCAAAGCCCTCAAACTTTATTAAAAATATCACATTGTGCTGTATGGGGATATTCTGGGGGTCACCATGGCAACAGACATCCAAGTGCCAAATGCACGAACGTGCACACCTGCCTGCCAGTGTTCCAACTTGTGCCTCTGAACCTCCCTGTTAGACAGTATCTAGGTGCTGTTTGCTAAATGTGGCAGGACGGAGGGGCGACAGTGGCAATGCCTTTGTTCTCAGAGAGAGGAGCACACAGTTCTGTCAAGGTGTTAATTAGCCATTGTGAGACAAGAAAGTTGTTAGGATTGTGCTGGCTTCAGCTGTGAGATGCACAACCTTTTGTGTGAAATAGAGCTTTGTCTTCCCAGACTTTGTAAAGAATGCAACATAGTGAATGACAGCATCTTTGAAATCAGCAATGCTTAATTAATACAACTGCCACATTTAATACTCTCTGGTACAAATCAGTATCTCTACCTGTTATGCCATTAAAACGTTCTGACAGCACCAAGCTCAGTATAATCTGGCATGTCTCAGTTGTGTTGTTCTGTCTTCCTGCTGCTCTGGATATGTATATATTGCAATCTACAGTTCACTCAGTAAAGTCTTAAATTTGGAATAAGCTCTGCTCTTTGATTGTGTTATACGTCTCTGCGGATGAGCTGTGAAAGTGCGCACTTGGAAGGATCAGTTTTTGGTTAACATGATGGTTTGTGATGTCAGCCTTGCAAGTGTGTGCAGTGTTTTTCAGTGTCTAAATGAGATCTAGTGACTCATGTGGAGAAAACAGGCTGCTTGGACTGGGTGACTGACAGTATCGGTTTGACTCGGCATACTGAGCCTTGCCACTGATATACAGCAGTGAACTTAGTCTTTTCTTGTGGATATTAGTCATTGTCAGATTAAAAAGCAAACCACACATTAAAATGGTTTGAGTGACCTGCAAATATAAAGGACAACTATGTATGGTGTTTCCTGCCTGTAAAAATGTCATAACGTGTGTATGATATTATGTGTTTTGTGAGTCAACACAACAAAACCCACAGCATGGTCCATTGTTGGAGAGCGTTTCCATTATACATATGTAACAAAACAGTGTTTAATGCTGAATGCTATCATAAAGTTATGTCCTGAGAATAGTTTAATCTATCAGTTACTTGTAAAAGGATTTGTTGGGTGTTACTATAATACTGATAAAGGTGCCAATATGTCACACGTTCAAACTGCTCCATTATTTATGTCTCAGATTGTCTGCCTGGGGATTGTGTGTATAATAGTTCATCTTTAGAAATAATATAGCATTTGGATGTTTCTGTGTGTATGCGCATGTGTGTGTGCGTGAATATATGCATGAATATGTGAGTCACGCACCACTATCCAGCCCCCTGGGCTTTGAGTTCTGATGCCCATCTTTCAGCTCCTCTACTGCACACTGAACCCAGTGAACCTTCTGCTGTTTACACTCTCCCCCTCCTCCTGCTCGCTCTGTCTCTATTTATCTCTCTCACACACTCTCATGCTCGTCTATTCTCCCTCCATCTCTCTCTTAGTTTCTCTCTCCATCTCCCTCCAGCTCCCTACAGTACATCTCTCTTTCTCACGCACTCACGCTCTCTTGTGTTCTTAGTCTT